AAAGTCGGACGAAAATATATATTGGAGATACATCTAAATCTGAACCGATTTTCACGAATCTTAACACACATCATTCTAAATTTAATTCAATACACTATGTGCTTTGCCAGATTTCATCCAAATCGGATCATAAATGCGACCTGTGCTTTGCTTACAATTTAACATTAACGACTCAGAAAGTAATCCTATGCATACTCTCAAAAGGAACCATGGGTCTATCTCGATTAATTTTGCTGTTATAAACATATGCACTAAGATATAGTAAATATATGGTCGGCCCGAAGAGGATCGGGCCAAAGAATAAGCATGCCTGTTTTGATAAAGATTGGTCAATATTTAGCGGGTCAAATGGACCTTTACTTTTTACCCCTGAAGGACATAGATACGAGAAGTTGGTAGTATATACAATAGGAGTGGCTGACCTTTAAAATGATACCAATTATATTGTCGTATGTACTCGGTTGTGGGAGTTACACGTAAATATTTACAGGTGCTTACGTATTCAAATATTATATAGAAGTTCATTACCACACTAGAGGGCGGAAATATAGCGCTGATCGTTTTTCCATGAGGATCCAGGTATGGTCAATGACAACGCCTATAAATTTCAGTGATGATCAGATAATACTATTGGGATGAAGTGGACGCAAAACTTAATTTTTTGTGTTCGAGTCGATCTATAGGCCACAACTAAAAGTCGAACATCACAACACAACCCATGGTGAAGGGAATGTGAACAAGTAATTAGAAGGGTTGTATTGAATATTAGTAATATTTATTTGTGTATATATTTGTTAACCTCTAGTCGGTCAAACATTGACCAGATTTTCATTCTGCGCCAAAACCACGAAAAACACATCGACACATACCACCTATTCGTCGACTATAAAGCCGCATTCGACAACCCTATCCGTTCAGAGGTGTTCAAAGCCATCTATGCGTTTGGCATTTCTGCAAAATTAATTCGACTATGCAAGATAACTTTAACTGGCACGAGATCAGCAGTTAAAGCCGGAAAGGACGAACGAGGATTCAGACAAGGTGACAGTTTGTCGTGTGACCTTTTCAACATCCTGCTAGAATAGGTCATACGAGATGCAAAGGTGAACAGAAATGGCATTCTGTACACCAAACAACACATGTTACTCGTAAACGCTGATGACATCAAAATAATGGGTCGAACATTGAGAGCGGTAACAGCCACCTTTGAACAAATTGAGAAGGATTCTGACATCAGTTTTGAAATTCGGAGAAGGATAGTGTTGGCCAACAGATGCTACTATGGTCTGAGTAAGCAACTCAAAAGCAAGGCCACCTCCCGCCAGACTAAACTCACACTCTACAAGACGCTGATACTACCCGTGCTATTATATGGAAATGATGGGTACTTACGCAAGCAGATGTCTCAAAAGATCTATGGGCCGATCTGCGTTGACGGTGAATATCGCAGTCGAATGAAAAAATACCGACGCGTGGAGGGTATATTGATTTTGTCATTCCGTTTGTAACTCATCGAAATATTAATTTCCGACCCTGTAAAGTATATATATTCTTTATCAGGGTAAAATTCTAAGACGATCTAGCTATGTCCGTCCGTCCGTCTGTTGTAATAACGCTATCTTCTGAAGGAATTGAGAGTAGAATAGAGTGCTGAAATTTTGCATTGGTTATTTATATTAAAATAGTTAACTAATTTGTTCAGTGTGTTGGGGTTATCCCCATATAGCTGTATTCCACCATAGAATGGGGGATATTCTGTAGACGACATTTTCAGTTCATACCCTGCATAGTATGGAATTCTAAAAAGATTTAGTAGATTTAGCCATATGTTGTAATCATGTTTCTATCGGAGGATATCGACATAAAAACTAGAACGTGAGGTTGGAACTTTAGCTATATCGGCCCTTAATTAGGCATAATCTCTTATATAATGAAAATACCAAGTATTCGCTAATTCCTACACAATGTTGTAAAAATTGTTCCCGCTTTAGTATGCGTCATATAAATCTATTGGTAGAATTGTAGTTTTATGTATGTTCCCTATATTTTCATTTTCAGTATTTCTATGGTGGAGGGTATCCAAAGTTCGGCCCGGCCGAACTTGCCTGGCTTATGAAACGAAAGTTATGTCACAAGTCAGCTAAGTAAGTAAGTAAGATAGTCGGTCAAGAGGTTGCAAAAACCGCGAAATATTGTCCAAGCCCAGAATATAGAACCACAGATTGTTAGATTTTCGGGGAAGTTGTGTAGGGTATCATATAGTCGGCCCCGTCCAACTATACTGCTCCGCTCACTGTTTTTTTAATAGTGTTCGGCTGAACGATGCGGCTAGAACCTTCAAAAGTCTTATACTGTGACGATATATTTCTTTTTTTCGAAATATGCTTAATATTTTTATCCAAATATTTCGAGCTCTATCTTAATTTCAAAAGACAATTTCGACTAGCACTATAGCGACATACTATTGTGACAAAAAGAGAGGTATGATATTTACATATGTAATGAGGTGAGAAGGGAGTTTAGCTTGACCCGCAATTTAATAGAAGAAAAACTTAAACAACAAAATGTGGTGTAACATAATTTAATAGGCAATGGAAACAGGGCATACTTAATTATTTTTTTTCATACCAGGTGTAGCGGTAATAAAATGGCAATATGTAAACAAAAAATAAACAACAACTGTTCAAATTTATAAATTGTCCCTTTTGAAACGCATTTTTTTGAAGGGAGCCAACACAACCTTTGCCTTTGACAATACCTTATTTTCGTCACAACGCTGTTTCACGCCAATTAACATTTCCAAAACGGATACGAATATGCCAAATACACAGCCCACAATTGTTACCAAGAAAACACCACCCAAATTGCTAAATTCCAAGGCCACAGCTCCGCTTTCCGATGTACCAGCCTTAGATTTAAAAATTTGGTTATTGTTTTTGTTGTTTGCATTCAACAGAAATGAAATGGAAGAGTTTTCTGTCCAAACTCAGATTAAAACAATGTTTTTTCCCATTATTTTTCGAAAACACAGAAACTTTTCGAGTTTTCTTTTAATATTCCAGGTTTTAAGTTTGTGGAAAAAAAATGGAAGAAGAAAGAAAACACACACACAAAGACAGACAGAAGAAGAACGCTTAATTAACTGGAGGAAGTTCGATACTTACCGCACAAGCACCACCGCCACGTTTCTCTTTCCACCATTTTGTTTTCATTTTGGCCAATACGCCTTGTTCCTGCAGCTCCAAAACCGCTTGACTGAGAATGTTACGATAGGGCCAATCTATTGAAAGGGGAATACAAGACAAAGTATGGGCCATTAATGCTTTTGTATCTAAAGTGGATTTGAAGGATTACATTTCGATTTAAAGAGTTCTGTGAATATATGTAATACATTGAAATAAAGAGAGAAAGAGATAAGAACTTATTCTGGGAATTGGTTAATGTAATCTAAATTTTATTGGATAACATTCTGTATGGATGACAATAGTCATTTAATACATCAGAATTATTATTGTATAAGTTTTGGAAACTAAAAAAGTGAAACTTAAAAAGATCAGCATGAATCCTTAAGATTTTTGTATTCAAAATAATTTCAGTGTGAGTGATTCTCTCCTTTCTTTTAATTGTTATCGATTTTAAAATTTTTTTCTGTCTTTAAATTAGTCCTTAATTTAAGATTTTTTAGCATTGTGTCATGCATTCTGTTCGTTGCAATTTTTATGCAATAATCAACAGTATTTCATCATAACAGAGACTACATTAGTATTCCGACTGTTTTTACACAAAACCCCCCACATGTGAATCTCTCACACAAATTGATACCCTTACTGGTGAACAAGCACCATCGATTCAATGAATCCTTCTTATATGCTGTAATTAAAATTCACCTAACAAGGCTCATAACTATTCATTTTAAACAATTGTAGGGTGAGGGTTCGTATTAACACTTTCAAAGCCTAGTAGAAAATTTTCAATGGAACTCAAAATATTAGGACGAATTTGTTTAAGGTGAACAATTGTAATTATTGAAGAAAAATATAATTTCAATCTGACACTCATAGGTCTTATTTTTTTCTATAGAAAACAAACATTGGGAGTTGAGTGCACCACATCGAATGAACACATATATGGGTTCAAAATCTGAACCGATTTTAACGAAGGCGAATATTAATAATTTTTGGGAGGGAGATTTGCTCTATAGAAAAAATAAAAATTTGAATTATTTTTTATTTTGGTCGGGACCAAATTTTGATTGCCTTCACATAAAAATCGAATTTCAAGATAGTTAAAAATTATCGGAAATTAAAAACGAAAATGACAACTGACCTTTATATAGGTGCAATGTGGAAACATAGAACTATATTGATCGGTGAAGTAGTCGTCTATCCAACAAGGTCACGGACTGTCAAATTACATTCTCTTTGTAATGATAAAATATATTCTCTTCGGTTGGAAAGTGGGCATAGGATCATTAAAGGTACCTGGATATTTATACCCTTCACCACACTGTGGTACAGGGTATTATGTCTTTGTGCATATGTTTGTAACAGGCAAAAGGAAAGGAGATAGACACATGGTTCCTTTTGAGAATATGCATAGAATCACTTTCTAAGTCGAGTTATGCATGACCGTCCGTCCGTCTGTACATGTTAAATTGTGAACAAAGTACAGGTCGCATTTATTATTCGAATTGGATGAAATTTGGCACAGCTCATTCATTTGGCCCAAGGACGAACCCCATTGAAATTGGGAAAAATCGGTTCAGATTTAGATATAGCTCCCATATATATATTCGACCGATTCAAGTAAATGGTGTACCAAAGTCCCTAAATATCGACTTGCACGAAATTTGGTACAGCATACTAAATTAAGCCTTGAATGATGTGTGCTAAGTTTCGTGAAAATCGGTCCAGATTTAGATCTAGCTCCCATATATATTTTCGTCCCATTTAAGGCAAATGTTGCAGCAAAGTCCCTAAATATCTTTCGATTTGCACGAAATTTGGTATAGCTCACTGAAATAAGCCTAGAATAATGTGTGCTAAGTGTCCCGAAAATCGGTTCACATTTAGATATAGCTCCCATTTATACTTTCGTCCGATTTAAGGTAAATTGTGCACTAGAGTCCCTTTATATCTTTCGATTTGCTAGAAATTTGGCATATCGTACTGAATTGAGTGTAGAATAATGTCTGCTAAGTTTCGTAAAAAATCGGTTGAGATTTAGATATAGCTCCCATATATATATATATATATTTTCGTCCGATTTAATAGAAATGGTGCACTAAAGACCCTATATATCTTGCGATTTGCACAGCGTACTGAATTAAGCCTAGAATAATGTGTGCGAAGTTTAGTGAAAATCGGTTCAGATTTAGATATAGCTCCCATAGACATTTTCGTCCGATTTAATGTAAATGGTGCACCCAAAACCCTATATATCTTTCGATTTGCACGAAATTTGGCACAGCGTTCTGAATTGGATCTGGAGTCATGTCTGCCAAGTTTCGTGGAAATCGATTCAGATTTGGATATAGCTCATATACATATTCTTGTCCGATTTTGTGTAAAAGGTGTACCAAAGCCTCTACATTTCCTTCGGTTTGCACGAAATTTTTATTGCGTACTGAATTAAGTCTATAATGGTGTGTGTTAAATTGGTTAAGATTTAGATATAGCTCCCATATACATTTTCTTCTGATTTAAGGTAAATGTTGTGCAAAAGTCCCTATATACCGTTTGATTTGCACGAAATTTGACATAGAGTACTGTCTTAAGTCTAGAATGATGTGTGTTAATTTTCCTGAAAATGCAGATTTAGATATATCTGTCACATATATATTTTCGACCGATTGTAGGTAAATGGTGCACCAAACACCTGCGAATGACACGAAATTTTACTCAACGTATTCAATTGAGATTAGATTTATTGCGCTTTTTTTGGTACTGGGTGGAGATGCAGACATAGCTTTCATATATATTTCGAACGGGTGTCTGATATTATCGAATAGTGTGTATGAAGTGTGCTATAAATTGATTTACCCAAATTTGATATTTAGCATAGGTTGCAGAAAAGCATGTATATGGATTGATGTTAGTCGGTTCATTTATTGATAAAACATGAATTGCTGTTCATTAGTCTCGCTAAAACTCGAGAACGGCTGAACGGATTTTTCTTATCATAGTCATAAAATGTTCGTGGAGCTTCAGGGAAGGTTTAAAGGTGAGATCGAAAAGATCGAATAAATGCCGGGAAATCTCTAAAAAGCTGACTTTTATATTTCCCATACAAATGTTTTCTAAATAAAATGTAGATTCATACATTCAATTTGCTTTTTTTGTCAGAAGTTTTTTTTTAAGTTTGATAAATTTAAAATTTTTTCACAAATTAAGTTTCTGAAAGGATTAAATTTCGATTACCGATACGTGCGCGAGAACTTTTTTTACTTTTGTGATCCTTTGAGATAGTGACCCTGTCATAGTTACACTATTGTTCGGCATCTTAACGTCATTAATTAATAACGTTAAGATGCCGAGGAGAAGACGACCTGAATTAGTTCGTCCATAGAATGCAAGTACATTTTGGGACTAATGCAAGGATGGAAAATCAGAAGAGATTCTGAATCGAGTTCGTGTCCATTATGGGAATTCTGATTCTAAGATCCATGCCCTTGATTAATTTGTTTGAAAATAATAATAATAGGAATATGTTGTTCCTTAAAGTTCCTGAAATTTTGCTATGCCACGGGAAATATCAAATCAGGCGGTTATATGCCTAATCGTTGCTTAATATATTTTAAACACCTCGCATATATCCGACACTAAAAATGTTTATCACAGTATAATATACGAGATATCTTCTTTGCAAAAATCTATCATTAAGCTCAGCTGGAAAAAGAACAACAAACAAAAAACCAGCAATTTTATATAAATTAGCGATGACGTAGCGACTTGAAGGTTATACGAAAACCTCCGTAAGATGCTACCCCTTCGTATTGAACATGCTAACTACCAATAACACTCAATTTGTAAAAAGGGAGTACGAAATTCAACATACCGAAAATTGAACTGGAAATAATTATGGCGTTTTTTAACGTTAAGCTGTAGTGCAAAATTCCTGGAATGATGTTTTTTATTCACAGGGATTCATTATGCCTAATTATAGGAAATTCGGTCAATGTATTTATAATACTTTATAATAAATGCTATAAAGATGCTATATCAAAACTCGGACCTAAGTAGATACTTTGTCGCAAAAATGTGTCTCCCCCCAATATCCTGGAATGAACTATTTTAACTACAAGAATGGGAATGGAGACATATTAATTATTGGTAGGAAGATTTTACAGAACATGAGAAATTACGGGGGATACCATTATATGGGTGGAACCCACTAACTTTGACCAATATTGATAATTCTTTGTAAGGAGATTTTATAATGTGGAGTTCCATTATGTAGTGCGATTTTCTGTTCAATAAGTATCCCCTATATTAAACTAAAAGCAATTCTGTTGAAAACCGTGCCTAAGATCTTCAAAATACCGAATGTCTAGGGCTACCATTATATGGGCGGTACACCGAAACATGGGCCAATATTGATAATATTTGGTACGGACACTTTCTGCGCAATTTCAATGTATGTGCAAATTTCAGAGCACTATCTTAAAGATAATTTAATATTGGGCTATCGTTATGTGAATTATACATCAACAATATTCCTATGTAAGACAACGTTTGCCGGGCCAGCTATGTTGAATGTTGAAATGTTTGTGGAGCTCCAGGGAAGGTTTAAAAGATGAGAAAAAGTCAAAAACCGCGAAAAATTTGCAAAAAGTATTTTGCAACATATTGGCATTTTCACGAATTTAGTATCGAACTATTTGAATTGCACCACGTCGTAGTTTTGTTTTTAGATATTTTTGGCGAAAATCGGTAGCGTATCATTCCTTTAAGCCTACATTTGTCAATTATTGAAAATGTTCTAAATATTTATTTTTTTCAATTGGATTGACATTGTTTTAAACATTTTTTGGAGAATACAACAAATTATTGAGAAGTATATCATATCACACTCAGGTTGGAAATCGGGAATAAGAACTTCAACATACCGAAAATAATTATGACGTATTTCTAAAACGTTAATCTATAGTCCACAATATCTGGAATACGTGCAAATTTCAGAGCAATATCTTAAATCGTGGAGTGTAGCTTAATATTGGGCTATCTTGAATTATATTTGTGAATTATACATCAACAATAATGCTATGCAAGACAAAGTTTGCCGGGCCCGCTAGTTTATTTATAAAGATAAAATCAAAACAATTGTTTCTAATGGAATTAAAAAAAATGAGAATACCCATATGTAGAATATACCAAAGTGGTGAAGGGTATCATATAGTCGGCCCAGCCCGACTTTACTACTTTCCTTACTGGTTTTTATTCGACTAGCTGAGTCGATCTAGACATGTGTGTCGTCCGTAAAAACGATACAGGCCATGGTTGTCGACAAATCTTCAGGAATAGATGGGTTCTGGCCAACGAAGACCCCTATTGTTTTTCGAAAAGATCGGTTAATATTAGGTTGAGGGAAAAGAAGTCCATTACTTTTATAAAATCTATAGGACTTTACTTAACATACTTCGTAATGTCCGAGTTGGGCAAATATACACCGTTTTGTAATATGATTTGTTGCCATTTTAAAGGTATTCCTGCTTTTAAAGGTATTCCTGCTATTTTGCAAAAAACCCTAGTAGTCGATTTTCACAACCCAGTCCGGACTGTATGGCGGATGCATTAAAACTTCCCAACCAAGCTCCCGATGGTTCTAGCGAGTCACTGTAAATGTGCGTTGTCCTGATGGAATACGACACCTCTCTTGTTGGCTTCACCGCTCTTTGACTACGATCGTTTTCGCACAGGGTTATCGTATGTGATCCATTTCTCATCTCCAGTCACCATCCGTTTAAGAAATGGGTCTATTCCATTTCGTTTGGCCAAGGCTTCGCAGATGGAAATTCATCCATTCTATTTTTTTTCTGTTAATTGGTGTGACACCAAACATCGAGCTTCTTTTTGACTAAAGCTTTGTATAAATGGTTCAAAACAGTTTTAGGGTAGATTTTTAGCTCCTGGGCGATGTTACGACTGCTAATGGATTTATTTTTCCCCAACCTAATATATGGGAGCTATATCTATATCTGATACGATTTCAATGAAATTTAACACACTTACACTCAATTCCACATGTTATGTCAAAATTCATATCAGTAGGAAAAAGCTTGGGAGTTTGGACAAAAATATATCAATCGACTTGGAAAGTGATTATATGCATATTACCTAAAGTTAACATGGCTCTATGTCGTTTGCTTCCCTGTCACATACATAAGCAAAACAACTTAATACCCTGGGAAGGGTATAAAAAGGGGCTACATTTGTACTACTTCGATTATTTTAGCAAAAGAATTCAAAATATAAATAATTCATAATTCCTAAAAAACACCGAAATTTGGTACAACCAATATATGGAGGCTGGTTTAAAATGTGTATCTAATCTGCAAAATAAATAAAGATATTTAAACGGTGGTTTTATGATAAAAAATTCTATACTTTGATAAATACAGATAATAATTTCAGAAGTTTCTCTAAAAAATGGTGAGCATGAAAAATGTATTGGTGTTCAAAGGATTAAAATCCCACCACAACCAAACTGCACATAGTAACCACCATCCACAAATTGTTAAACTTACTTTTACGCATTGCAATGCCATATCCTTTTTCATCCAATAACGAACCGACCTGCGTTAAACTGCAACGTCGCTCCGTAATATATTCAATGGTCGTCGATTCCATTAGAAAGGCATAGTTCTCTTTCTCGACACGTTCAACACCTTCGGCATTTGTTGATGTCATATATTCCGGATGGCTTGTCATAAATTCATTCATTTTCTGGTATGTAGGATATTTGGCGTCCTTGGTGGTGATAAAGACAAAATTAAATGGATTTCAATTAAAACTGTGTTGCACACGAGATGCAACTTGAGATAGATTGTCGCCACAAACCTTAAAAAATGTCGATGTACTTCCACCATGTTTGGCGCCGTAATTGACACCACCTTTGTTTGCCGCCAAATCTTCAACATTTTCAATGGGTGTACTTAGGGATTCGATGGTTAAGAAAGCGGCCAAATTGGCGGTGTATGATGAGACCAATATAAGGGTGAAGAAGGACCAAAAAGAGGCAACTGCTCTTGTCGAAAAGCCTCTGCAACAACAAAAAATATAATTAGTACATCCTAGTTCATTATCTCGATCTCTGCTTTTTAACTGTTTGGTTAAGTAGAAATAAATAATTTATTTTCTATTTTATAAAAAAATAATATACCCTCCACCCCAATGTATGCATGTATTCCTATGCCATTCAACTTACTTCGCTGCTAATTCTGAGCCTTGCTGCAGCAGGGTCCCCATGGCATACCAAAAGCAATTAATAAAAGTAAATTGGTTCTCCAGTTCGGTAGGCTCCTCAACACAAGGATACGGATTATCCCATTCAGGTGGTGAGATGCGACCCAGCACAAACATGCTCAGTGCCACCATCACGTATGCAATGCCCAGCCAAAGCCAGACATCACCCGAAAACGGTGACATGAATGAGAATAGTTTTGGGGGCTCCTTCATTGGTTTGCGAAATAAGATTGCAATGCCTGCGGAGGAGAAATGAAAGACGAATAAAGAGAAGATAAAGCATAAAAATGAAAGCCACAAATATAAAAGCACGAAATAGAAGACACATATTTTGAAGTAAAAATAAATTGGTTACTTTTCTAAACGAGAATGCATTCAAGGACATTTGTGGCAGGACTTGAGGCATAGTCTTCTAATGTCAATGCTGCCACACTTAAATACAATTCATTGCTGCTGCTGTTGTTGTTGTTTTTGTTGTAGCTGTTGTGACTGGATTGTCCTTGCATAATGCAGGCTGTTGTTATGCTTTCTCATTTAGCAATGATACTATGGTTGGTTTGCTCTGGGTGTTATTGCCACCATCATCATCATCATTAGAGGAAATATAGTGTATATATATGTGAGTGTGTGTGTGCATGGATTTCAACATGAGCTTCATTCATTTGAATATTTAGGGAGGCTTGGAATAAATTGCCACCATACTATTCCTAGTTGGGTGCTTGAACATTTTACAGTTATTAATGATATGTACACTGACAGATTCGTTTTTTTCTGTTTTGTTTTATTTGCATTTTGGGACAATACACAAAAAAGACAAAGTGTGAAATCTATATAAATATTTGCTAAGAGACAATATATACGTATATTTATGTAAATACATCATCCGGAATAAAAGAAAATATGTTTTTTTATTTACGTGATGTGGAACTAACATGAAATGTGAAATAGGAAATTTTATAGAAACAAGTCAACAAGTCGTTATGTTAGGCCCAGCCGAACTTCTAAACCTCTTCATCATATCTTTGCCAAACTATAGAAAGTAGTACAGTCGGACTGGGCCGACTATATGATTCCATTCACCGCTTTGAGTATATTCTACATATGTATTCTAACAGATGTTGCCTTATCGAACATCAATCCGTACAAATTCCATTCTGCAATCTCTGCAACATTTTATTTCATTCGGACAGATTTAGAGTCGTTTGCATACAATGGGGCAAATTTATGTAAATCGATTTAAAGAAATCTGATAATCGATATTTGGTATGCCGCACTGTTAAAAATTTTATCTCAATCAGACACCCGTTGGAAATATATATGAAAGCTATGTCTGTATCTACACCAATTTCAACAAAACTTAATAACGTCATTCAAGTCTCAATTTGATACGTTGTGCAAAGTTTCGTGTCAATTGGACTAACATTAGGAGTTTTGTGTACCATTTACCTAAAAACGGACGAATATATAGATGGGACATGTATCTACATCTGAAGTGATTTCAACGAAACTTGCGAGAGATTGTACAAAATTGTGAGCCAATCGGACAAACTTTGGGTCTTTAGTGTACCAGTGCACTTAAAATCGGACCAAAGTATATATTTGGAAGCTATATCTAAATATGAATAGATTTTCAAGAAGCTTAACACATGTCATTATAGACTTAATTCAATATGCAAAGCACATTTCGTGCAAATCCAAAGAAATATAGAGACCTTGGTGCATCATTTACATGAAATCGGAGGAAAATATATATGGGAGCGATATCTAAATTTGAACCGATTTTCACGAATCCCAACAGACATCATTCTAGACTCAGTTCAGTGCGCAATGCTAAATTTCGTGTAATTCGAAACATATACAGGGTTTTTGTGTACGATTTACTTAAAATCGGGCAAAAATATATATGGGAGCTATATCTAAATCTGAACCGGTTTTACGAAACTTAGCGCACGTCATTCCAGACTCAATTCAGCATTATAGGGGCTTCGGTGCACCATTTACAAAAACTCGGACGAAAATATATATGGGAGCTACATCTAAATCTGAACCGATTTTCACTAATTTCAGTGGAGTTTAACCTTGGGGCAAATAAATGATCTGTTCCAAATTCCATCTCATTCGGATAACAAATGTGACCTGCACTTTGTTTACAATTTAACATGGACATACGGACTCACTCAGAAAGTGATTCTATGCCTGTTTTCCAAAGGGAACCATGGACCTATCTCGTTTCCTTTTGCCTGTTACAAGCATATACACCAAAATATAATACCCTGTACCACAGTGTGGTATATTTTGGGAATATGAATAGAATCATTTTCAGAGTCGATTTATGCATGTCCGCATTTACGATCCGAATTGGAAGAATTTTGGTACAGCTCAATCGGTTCAGATTTAGATGTAGCTCCCATATATATTTTCGTTCGATTTCCACAAAATTTGGCACAGCGTACTGAATTAAGCCTAGAATGATGTGTATGAAGTTTCATGAAAATCGGTTCCGATTTACTTACTTACTTAGCTGACTCTTGACAGAACATTTGTTCCATACGCCGAGCATGAAAGCGATTTCCAGGCGTCGGTCTTTTGCGCAGTTCTTCCAATTTGAAATATCATGTTCGGCAGTGTTGTCTTCCACTTGTTCTTTCCATCCAAATTGTGGCCTTTCCTTCTATGTGAACCATCAGGTGGTTTGGTTTTATATGCCTTTTGAGCTGGGGCATCTCCATCCATTTTCACAACATGGTCTAGCTAACGTAGTCGCTGCAGATTGTAAAGCTCTTGGTTCTTTCGACACCACAAGAGCTGCCTCATCTGTTTGTGCAAGTACCCATGCTTCAGATCCATTTAACAGCACGGGTAGTATCAGCGTCTTGTAAAATGTAAGTTAGGTCTGGCGGGAGGTGGCATTGTTCCTAGATTGCTCACCTCAGCATCTGTTGGCCAACACTATTCTTCTCCGAATTTCAAACTTGATGCTATTAGTTTTATTTATGGCATTATAAAGGTATATAAAATATTTTTGACTACTTCGAAGCTGTAGTTCCCAAGTTCCATAGTTGGTTTGATTCTACTGGACGTCACGCGTTCGGTGTTGAAGGCTTGCGAGAGTTCTTTTTCGACTTTAACTGTTGACCTTGTGCCAGGTAAAGTTATCCTACATAGCCGTATTAATTTCGCAGGAATGCCAAACGCAGTCATGGTCTTAAACACCTCTGAACGGATAGGGCGGCTTTATAGTCGACGAATAATTGAAATGTGTTGATGTGTTTCTCGTGGGTCTTTTCCAGGATTTGGCGCAAAGTGAAAATCTGGACAATGGTGGATTTCCCAGGCCTGAAGCATCTTTGATATGGTCCAATAAAGTCCTTGACCATTGGCTTCAGTCATTCACACAGCGCGCTGGATAGTACTTTATATTCGACGAAACTACACTAATTCGATGGAAAGGAGACTGTACATATAAGAGACATAGCATCTTTCGAAGACAATTGAAATGGAATCGGGCGAAATTTTTTACATAGACATTTGAACCAATAAAAATACAAATACTATTCAGAAATCTATAAAAAATTGCATGTCAATCGGGCTCCAAGTTGGGAGCTATGGGAGTTATCTGTAAATCTTCACAAACTGGACTGAATTCGGTACACTGTGCAAAATTTTGTCTCAATCGGACAAATATTGGGAGTTTGGTGCACTGATCGACATTTTATATGGGAGCTATATCTAAATCTTAACCGATTTCAACAATACTTCAAAATTTTGTCTCAATCAGACGATATATCTAAATCTGGACCGATTTCAACAAAACTTCAAAGACTTCAAACTGGAGTGAATTGAGTATGCTGTTCAAAATTTTGTCTTTATTGGTCAAATATTGGGAGTTATATATATGGGAGCTATATCTAAATCCGAACCGATTTCAACAAACTTCACAGACGTCAATCTGGACCTAACTTAGTAAGCTGTGCAAAATTTTGTCAATCGGACAAATATTGGGAGTTTAGTGCACCATTTACCTAAAATCGGACGAAACTATGTATGGGAGATATATGTAAATCTGAACTGATTTCAACAAAACTGCACGGACGTCTAACTGTACTGAATTTAGAGAGTTTGGTGCACCATTTACATTAAAGCGGACGAATATATATATATAAGCTATATCTAAATCTAAACCAATTTTCTCTAATTTCAATAGGATTGGACCAAATATCATCCAAATCTGATAATAAATGCGATTTGTACTTTGTTTCTATTTAACATCAACAGACGGACGGGCGGACATGCATAAATCGACTCAGAAAGTGATTCTATGCATATTCTCAAAAGAACCTTGGATCTATCTCGTTTCCTTTTGCCTGTTACAAACTATGCACAAAGACATAATACCCTGTACCACGTTGCGGTGAAGGGTATAAAAATCATAACAGATTCTTTCAAATGTGAAGGTTTTGATCTCTGTCCGTAATGTATCATGAATTCTTGTCACAAGGTTGTACGATGAATATCGAATACTACCTTGAAGTTTTACACCCCAGAAATGCACATAATTGTTAGAAACCCCAATCAGTATAGCTTAAAAATTAGACGTCAACTATTTCTCACGGTGTATGTCATCCATTCAGTGTTAATTAGAACTGTTGTCACAGAGATTGTTTCAGTAATGAAAGAATACATGCAATGATTTATGTATATAAATAGACATGTAATAATGCCACTAGAGATGTCCATCACTAAAAACGTGTTTATGAAATCAAATATCAAATATTTCACCATGATACACATATAATATATTTTGTGTGTCCTCGTTCACAAGTGGTACAATTTTATGTATCGAGTAAAATCTAGTCAACAATTTCAGAAACCAAATCCTAAAGGAGAATAATCTTTTCATGTTATAACTACATATGTACATACATGACATACCTATCAATTGTCGACATCACTTGCCATTTCTGTGTTATGGTATGAACGACCTAAACTGCTTTTAGGAAATATTATTTGCACATGCTAAGTATATTCTCCCTCCGTAATGATGTTCTTCTTGTGCTTGAACAGCACAACCACCACCAACAACAACAGCACATCACAACAACAATGTTGACAACTGCAAATGCAAGGACAACTAGAATTTCACGAAAAGTCATTAATGAGTTTCCATTTCCATTTTCTTTTTCAAATGCTGACATTACACATTTTCACACTTGCTACAACTTTTGCCATTATTTTTTCACAGCTTGCTTTTCACTCTTTTGTTGTTGTTATTATTGTTGCTGTTGTTTTCCTTTGCTGCAATGTCACGGTTATTATCACTCTAATTGGATGCATTTGTGTGCTTGAGACCGAAAAACCGGAACAAAGAATATCAAATGTCAAGTGGGGAAAAGGCTTTTGCACACTTACCCAAATTCATAAATGGAATTGTAAAATCAACAGCACTTTCACGATCAGAAGTCATGGTTAAATCGGTAATACCCAAATCGGCACGCTGTAAATGAGATATAATAGTAAGTTCATTAATAAATTATTTGAGTGTTAGACGTGGTATAATACGTTTGGTTATTTGGATAAAGTGCTTAGGAGCTATCGTCTGATTGTACACCCATCACAATATATTAATTATTTCAGTCTATTTGAGATATTTCGAAATATTGTTGACATAGAGACTTTTGCCCATTTTAGCTGGTTATTTATTGTTCACGATAGATGGCCCAGATGATTTGAATGAATCAGCAACACGGGTTAGTTTTATTGAAATGCATGTATTTCTTTATTTCCACTGTGTGGCACAACCATATGTTTTAATTCCTAAATAAATTCATAACGTTAGGGATTATAATATATAAAGTTATATTTTATACATACTTTTTGGTTTCAAACCATCTAATTTAATCAGTGTGTTAACTGTTTGACCAACTATTGCAAAAGAAAGATGAGTTTCTTACGCATTAAACTCCTTGCTTCTAACTTCATTTTTTAGTACAAGAAGAACAATGTATAAAAAGGAGTATATGATAATTATCAATAATCGATGTATGTTATCGATATTTCTTATACAGGTGAATACAGACCATTAATATTAATAAGTGGGCGACTTGGGGCTTAATGATCACCAGTGGCGGTAACACCCCCCCGCAGTATGACGAGAAGCCTTCGAAGACATACTTCTATTTCTCCGCCACATCAAGTACAGCTAATCTTGTAGCAGGTCTCACTAATACACCACTAGATGTAAGAACTTTTGCGCTTCGCACCTGACCGTCTTTTGCTAAAGATGTCTCCAAAATTCTTCCCCTTGGCCATACGTTCCTCGGATTCGATGGGTCAACCACAATAACCAAGTCACCAATATTCAGCGGTTTTGCCTTTTCGTGCCATTTAGATCTCAATGTTAAACAGGGCAAATATTCTCTAACCCAGCGCCGCCAAAATGCGTCAGCATATTGCTGAGAACATAACCAATTACTACGGAGAGCCACTCCACTGTCATTGTATGATGCTAATGGTTTCATACCATTAGAAGAACCTAGCAAAAGATGGTTTGGTGTCAACGCCTCGGCATTCTGGTGATCAATTGGCACATAAACCAAAGGGCGCGAATTTATTATGTTCTCGACTTCGGCAAGCATACTGCGTAGCAATTCTTCAGTTGGTGCTCTACTAGGGGTTATATTATAGAGAACTGTTTTAACGGACCTTACTAGCCTTTCCCACGCACCTCCCATGTGTGGAGAGGAGGGCGGATTAAACTTCCACATTGTTGTCGCAGTGGTAAAATTTCGAATAAACTCATTTTTATCCATCTCGTTAACTGCCACTCGAAATTCTCTCTCTGCACTCACAAAATTAGTGCCATTGTCACTGTAAAATTCTCTTGGCGTTCCTCTCCGAGAAATAAAGTTCCGAATAGCCATTATGCACGAGGATGTATTAAGAGTGTTAACTACCTCTATATGAACTGCTCTTAATGTTAAACAAGTAAAGAGAGCTCCGTATCGTTTCTCTGTATGTCTGCCTACTGTTACCATTACTGGGCCAAAGTAATCGACGCCATTTCTTAATCTTACACTCCTGGCATTGTTTAACTGCATCTTTTACCACAACTCTCATTCGAGGTATATAATACATTTGTCTCAACTCATTTACGACAGTCTCTTGACTTTGATGGCGTAGCTTTGAGTGGATATGCGATATTAGCAAAAATGTTATACGGCTCCCTCTGGGAAGAATAATAGGGGTTTTTCCGGATTGTGGAATATTTGCGTTGCCAATTCGGCCATCAACACGTAAAATTCCATTTTCATCGAATATCGGTGAGAGTTTGTACAATGAACTGGATTTTGTTAAGTTCTTATTAGATTTTAACACGTGTATTTCGTTGGCATAAAATTCTTGCTGGGCAATTTTGAACAATAGACATTCTGCTTCAAATAACTCCTGTGATGTTAGCTCCATTTTCACCTTATAATTTTTCTTCAGAATGTTCTTGAATTTCACCACGTACGCAAGGGATCGTAACATTCGATTCCACTTCGAAAAACGACAGGCACTAATTAATATTTCCTCATCGTTGTGGAAACTAATGCGTGCCTCTACTTCTGACGGTTCTGGCGTAGCAGTATCAATTGGCCACTTACATTTAGGTTCCAATAGAAATGGTGGTCCTTTTAGCCATCGGCTTTCATTTGAAATATTTGGTCTTCTAGCCCACTTTGTTGCTTCGTCGGCAACATTCTGCTTGCCAGGAACCCAGTGCCATTCATTTATTTCCGTTGATTCTAATATTTCACTTATCCGCAAAGCAACGAACTGATGGTATTTCTTACTGTTATGTGTAAGCCAACTGAGGACTGTTCTGGAATCTGACCAGAAGTGTTTTTCTTTTAATGGAATGGAGTGTTGTTTAATAATATTATTTGCAAATCTGGCGCCTATGAGAGCCGCCATCAATTCTAAACGTGGAATAGAAGTCATTCGTAGTGGCGCTACTCTCGTCTTCGACCCTATTAATGAGCAAATGGTGTTATTGCTCTGTGATATTCTAAGGTAAGCCACTGCTGCATATCCGTTCTCACTAGCGTCTACGAAGGTGTGTAACTGCAGGTCTGCATTTTCGTAATCTGCAAATGTTTGCAAATAACATCTAGGTATGCTTATTTGCTCCAATTCGGGCAGATACTGAAGCCATTTTCTCCATTTGACATACTGTTCATTTTGGATAGGTTGATCCCAATCTACCCCGCTTTTCCAAATTTCCTGAAGGATTATCTTTAAATACATGAGAAAATTTCCGATGAGGCCTAGTGGGTCGTATATTGTCATAAGGACCTTCAAAACTAGTCGCTTGGTCACCGGCTTTTCTTCTCGTATTAAATCATTATTCCAAATATGAGGCGAGATTTTAAAAATAATTGTATCATCGGCTGGCTTCCAAAAAACTCCAAGAACCTTCTCCGTTGTGTTATCCGTTCCAACATTTAATTGTTTTTCCAAATTTAACTCCTTATTATCCAGCTTGTTAACCACTTCACTTTTATTTGAGCACCAGTTACGCAAATTAAAGCCTCCCTTGCTCTGAATGTATTGAGTTTGCTTCGCAATTTCTACAGCTTTATCGACAGAATCGGTGGAATATAAGAAGTCGTCGACATAGTGATTGTCTTTAACGGCAGCAGCGGCTTGTGGAAATTGAGTCTCAAATTGTAATGCATTGATATTCTTAACATATTGTGAGATGCATGGGGCACAAGAAGCCCCAAATATCATGACGTTCATTATATAAACATCTGGTTCTCTATTCACTTCACAGTTTCTCCACAGAAATCGCTGCACGTGACGGTCTTCTTCGCGAATGTAAATTTGGTGGAACATTTGTTCTATATCTCCGCATATGGCAACTGATTTTTCTCTGAATTTAAATAGTATTGCTGGTAATGATGACAGCAAATCGGGACCCTTATTTAGCATGGAATTCAAGGAAATGCCTTCGAACTTGGCAGCCGCATCCCAGACTATTCTGCATTTTGCAGGCTTGTTTCTGTTAAACACAGGGAAAATAGGTAAATACCAAACATTGGTATGTTTAGTTGATATGTCGATCTTGCTGATGAAACCTTTACAAGCATATTTTGCTATAATTTCCGAAAAGGTTTCAAACAGCTCACGATTTTTCTGTAATTTATTTTCAAGACAAATAAGTCTTCTTTTCGCCATTTCATAGTTGTTTGGCATATTTATATTGTCATACCGCCATAAAAGGGCGGTTTCATAGTGCCCATCATCCCGCTGTTTCGTAAAATTCTTTAAAATCTCCATCGAACGTTCGTCTTCTTTGCTTTCTAACGTGTTGTGACAGCTGATGCCTAAACTCTCTATATTATAAAACATTTTTATTAATTGTTGCATTTGGTCATCCCTTTCTGTACATTCGCAGATATGCATATTATAGGCCATCAGACTGTCATTACAACATGGTCCAAAAATTGTCCATCCAAGTGGTGTTTTCATGGCAATAGGCTCCTTAATACCTCGTTCTCTTATTCTTTGCGAATTTGTTACACTTGCATTATTTAAACCAATCAATATTTTCGGTGTCGCATCGAAATAACTCATAACGGGCAGGCCTCTTAAGTAAGCAAAGTCGCGGCAAAGCAATTCATAATTAATAGATTGTTTTGGCAACATTAGTTCTTTCACCGAGCGCACGTCCAATGTCAGTTGTTTATTATTATCACCATTTACTTTAATGCTTAATCGTTGTGAGTTATTCTCTGTTCTTTTTAGATTGGCAGTCCACGTCATACACAGCTGATCTGACTCTCCCTTTAGGTCTAGTTGTTCTAAAATGTCTTCTTCAATTAAACTTACCGATGAACCATCGTCTAAGAATGCATATGTTTCGGTGCTTTTGTTGTTGTTTCCATAAATCTTTATTGGGAGAATTTTGAAGAGAATGTTGGGTTTGTTTATGTTATGCGAGTTGACATTGTGGGCGCTCTTAATATCTTCATTTTCGTCGTTCTCTTTACTCTGAGTGTTGTGCTGTAGTTTATTGTTGTTTCTTTTATCACCATGCAGTAGGTAATGGTGTTTAATTTGACAACCATCAAAATTGCAAAATTTGTTTTTGTTGAAGCAAACACCAGAATGTCTTTTTAAACACTGCTTACACAACTGTAGTTTTTTTACAATATCCCACCTCTCTCTTCGCTCAGCATTTATGAATTTCTGACAATTTACTGTGTTGACGCAATCTCCTTCACAAATTAAACATTTCTTTAGTTTTGTCTCCACATGGGTGTGCACAAATGAATTCTTTTGTTTACGAATGGAGGAAGAGGAGGAGGGAGTAATTGAGCTCTCTATATTTACGGTACTCGCTGATAATCCAATATCAAATATCCATGCTGAAAATTCAAGCAAATTCGCGTTCTTTCCGTTTTGTTGCAACGTTAATTTATGGGAGCCCCAATTTATCTGAAAATAAGATGGAAGCTTAGCAACTA